TTTGCAAAAAAAGCAATTTCCCAAATTTTGGCACTTATTTCACTGATTTATGACACAAATAAAAACTCACCTAAAATAAAAGCAAATGTATTCGGAAGTGGGCGGGACGCATAAAACAGCATATGGAATTGTGACGCAACGATAACTCTAGAACATAGCTTAAAAATGATATTGTTTTAATGCAAATATTTGTGCCGTCGTTAGCTGCAACGGCTTCTCAATTTAGGCAAGATCAGTTACGGTCTTGCTGGCGGAGAGTATGGCTCATTAGATCATGTGTCGTAATGGTGTAGAGTGATAAATTCAAAACAGCCGCAGATAAGAACCACATCCTACCCAGTCTTTTCTTAAAACTTTTCATCCGCATAGCCCCCTTTTCAGTAAGTGTTCGGCGACTTGAATTTTGGCCGCCAATACAAGCATATCTGCATTGGACTCTGTACAAACTGGACTTTATATGCTGCGGCTGAATAACAGTAATTTAGCTAGCATTTAGGTATGCTCGTGGGCTTTCCCCAAACGATTTAGCGATGAGCATGCGTACAGCCGGCTAATTTTCAGTCTATCAGCCATCAACCGCTAAAACCGCCCACGCACTGAGGTGCTCAAAGACAGCCCTGTGCTCCACTTTGTAAGGTTTCCGTTATATTCCAAAGTCATAATGAGAAAGAGCCGACGAAATATATGAACCCGCAAGCTGACATCTCTATTTGAATAGGTTCAGAAGGCTTTAGCCTACAGCTTCAAAAAAGCGTCACGAGAGTACTACTGCTGCCACAGATCAAATAAGTCTATAGTGGATTATTGACACTGTCTTGTATAATTGAAAAGTTTGAAAAGATAATAAGTTTATCGCATACATATATAGTGACAGCTGCGAGATAAAATTGTGCTACCAATTTCCATTATGGTTTCTTACGAAGCCAACTTCAGGATGAGACAAACCTGGTGCCATAAAACATTATAAGTGACTTTTAACAAGATGAAATAAGTCAACGATCGAATATTTTTGTAGCTTTTTACTTCAAGGGAAGCTTTCAACACCTCCTTCCCTTTTTGTGTTGTACTAGACGGAAAGATAAAAGGTAAAGGCGACAAGGCTACAGGATATAGATGACATAAATAATTTTCTCTGTATAAGGATACCTGAGAAACATGGCCGTTTCCGCACCAAAATGTTTTCGAACTGCCCTGGCGAAATTTAAGAACGCAAGCACATTTGTCATTCCAAGCACAAAGCGTACTAAACCAGACATAGGCTAAACTGCTGTTTAAGAGTAAACATTTTTCCCTACCGATAAAAAGCATCCAGAACTTCGGAATGTCTAGAAGAAAGAATATGAAACGCATTGGTAGACCAAACAGTGCCAGATATATGGGCCCAGCAAAAGTTCTTGGTACTACACCAGGAAATTCATTGTGATCATACTGGAAATGCAGCTTCAAAGAGCAATAAAGAAAAAAGAGAAAACACACCGCTGATATGTTATAAGTGTGGTAGATCAGATCATGCGTTGCTTGCACGTTGAAACTTTCTTCAACCTTAGTTCCAGGTGCCATTAGCAGATGTATCAACATCGCTATCACCACCATCCATTCGGATCCTTCGATATTATCCATCTCCAGCCTTAATTGTTAAATAAATTAGCAAAATAGTGCAGATGATTAACATAAAAGTCAAGCGAAAAATTAAGAGTACGGTTCATAGATGCACTATGTTCAGGAAAAAGATTAAAGTGACGGAGAATACCTTCTGAAGGTTAGATAAAGCGAAGTACGGCAAGATACTGAGGACTAGTTTTCGTGCCGACGGATTAGCCAAAAAAAGGAAAAAATGAGAGATGTATTCAAGTAAAATGCACTCCTGAAAGCCAATGCCGTTTTCCACGAATGGTTTGAAGAACAAGGATCTAGTAAGAATCAGGATTCTTTGCTTGATTGTATCAATTCCGTAAAAATTTAGAAATGCCTATTTGTCGGTTATCTCATGTTTATCAGTGTAAAGAAAACCCAAGAGGTGCGCTTTCATATTATTTACAGACAAGCGTTATTTGCTTATTGAAGAAAAGGCCCATTTCCATCCGAAGAAGAGCCTCAATTTCCAATAATATAGAAAAAAGAAAGTTGCAACCTAGTCATTCACTATCATAAATAATCCAGTAGTTATACGAAGCCATCGAAAATCTTCAAACTTTCTGCTGATAACAATGTTAGCCAACATCACTGTTTTATCTCATGATCACAGCGAAAAGGGAAATAAAGTTAAAAAATGAAACTAAAATAGAAAACTGGAGAATTCTAAAAAGAAACTGATAATAAAATAAAATTCAACCTTCAAAGAGATAACATTCTAAAACTGTAAAATTGATCCACCAGAATAAGTGTAGGAAGAAGTTTAGATGCGCACGATATGCATCATCATTATCTATTTGTTTCATGCGTTGTTGAGTCAGCGACAGGATGCGGAAAGCCATGCTTGACCAAATACACATAAAAGATGAACTTCATTTATTAGTGCATAACAACAAATGACAAGGTCAAAGTAACAGATTGATAAGCAGGCTGTTCAATGAAACAAATGACATAACCTCTTGAAGTCAACAGCGCGAATGCTGGCAGATCCAGTCATCGTGCGACCTCATTAATTCACAAAGTAATCCTACGCAACTACTTTCCTACGAAAAGTCCTACATATATCCTATCCATATACCCGCAATGAAAACATCGAACAACAACTGTCTGTAAGCGCCTATCCTGACTGCATTTCTTCGAGAAGTTTTCGAAGTCGTTTGGCTTCTTCTTCTGCGCTTGTAGCAACATAACGTGCTTGACGTGCCTTCCTTTCGTTCTTCTCGATGACATGAGGCTTCACCTGAGATTTATCAAAGCAGTCTAACCTTATTGCTGCTTTCCAATTATGTCAAAACTAAATATGTACTCCGAAAGCAAGAAAATAGTCTGAAATTTTTCCCATTATTCACTCTTAATTCTAGGGACTGATGATAAGCTCTAAAAAGACGCAAGAAAATGCCTTGAAACAGACTGTTTTGCTTTTGCAAACCTCTTACCTTTCCTTCATTCCTTTCCTTGACAACGATTGCTTCATACTTCTCTGCTTTGCCAAGAAACTGCTCACTGCGCTCTTCAGATTTCTTCAGTAGCCTTTCTAAGCGATTAGTGAATTCCAATCGATGAGAGTCCTCAAGGAAAGAGATGTTTAATACTAAGCGTGCTTTCATGTGAAGCTCTTCACATTGACAAACAAATCTAATGATACTTCAAGGGAAATTGTGTACTTGGATTTTTATAGACAAAGAGGATTTGCTTCCTGGTACCGGACAAGCCATGAACCCAAGCGGAGCAGCATGATCGAGCGGCTTTAAGTCCAAAATTTCAAGATTGGCGAGGTCAGTGAGAATTGGCAAAACGTTTAAGAAGTTGCTGGAAACATCATCGGATTGCAAGACACCTGAATAAAGTAAACTGACAGACTGGACTAAAGTTCGCCAGATTTTTACCTTGAAAAATCATCGACGAAGGTAATTGAAGCTGATTCCTCAGTGATCGCACCACTTTAACAAGCCGCAACAATATATCCATATCAGATTCGAGCTCCTCATTTCGATAAATTTGGAAAAATGATGGCTAAAACAATAATATAATAAAGAAGCGCCTTCATTCTGCTTGCGTAGAACTTAGTGTCCAGTTTTTAAATGAAAACAAATGGCCAAAGAACCACGTTCTACAGTATAAAAAAGCGTAAGTTTAAGGAACTGTGGTTAAAAAGCGAACCTTGACAAAATCGAAATAAATTGAACCCGGCTCTCTACTGAAAGCTTTTTCATACAGATGTTGTGCCACAAACGGCATAAAAACGGAGAGCTGTACAAGGGTTGGCTGGATAACACGATTTAAAGTAGTACGAATTTCAGAAATTCTACGCAAATCACCATTCCAAAGCGCACGTTTTGTGGTTTCCTGAAATAGAGCTTAACATATGGCGAATCCTGAACTAAACTAAACGTACCAAGTACACGTCACATAAAAAACTAAGAATGAAGTTGTGAAGTGCGGCAAATGCTAAATGAGGAGCACAGTCTGACATGTGACCATCTACTTGCTTCAGCGTTCCGGCCAATTTCGAGATGATCCACTCATCCTGAATATGAATATGATCACGACAAAACAAGGAAAAAGTGATGAATAGCGAAGCATTCACAGGCTAGAAACTAACCGCCGGATTCTCAGAGTCTACATCTTTTAGTGTAGGGGAGTTGCTAGCAACCTTCTCCATATAAGCTACCATATTCCAAAGCTTGTTGCAAAATCGAAGACCCTTCATATACATATATTGACCCTTCATATACATAATTCAACAAAACGTTGAGTACCACGACTCAATCATCTCAATATGAAAGAACAACAGAAAACATAAACAACCTCAGCAGAAAAATCAGCAATGCTGAGCGGAATATCTGACGCAAGCAAATCATGCCTCAACAAAGCAAAACGAAGAGCATCCGTACCAGAGCGAGGAATACCTTCAGGATAATGAGATGAGATTGCAGATGTCGCCGCGGCTAAAATTTTTGATTGATGTAGCTGCCAAGTTTAGGAGAAGCAACATGCCACTTACCAATCTCCTCCAGAGAGAGTGCACTATTTTTTATCCTATCCAACATTTTCTCCTTAGATATTCCTTCAATTATGTCGAGGGGATCAATGGCATTACCCAGTGATTTACTCATTTTTCTTCCGGAAGAATCGCGAATCAGCCCATGTAGCAGAACGTGAGGGAATGGCACTTGCCCGCCGGATAGCCTTTTAGTGTGTTAGTGTTAAGTGAACGGGTGGGTAGGAACTTTAAAAAATACCTCATTGACATTATTATCATCCTAGCAACCCAAAATCCGAGAATATCCCAACCAGTCTCCATTACATCAAGAAGAGGCGCTGATGGATTGAACTCGGGTCCAGGCCATCCGGCATTCACTAAGGGAATCAAGGATGAACTAAAAACTTTGTTCATTTTTGAAAGCTATCTGATAAAGCAAAACTAGTAGATCGGTCACCTAAACCACGTATCCAACACATCATGATCCTGTTCAATTTGCACATCTTCACCAAAATGTTTCAAAGCATCCAGCAATGAGTTCGCAATGAACCATGGGGAGCTAAAAGTAACACATGATTATAATCCCAAATAAAGACAAAACACAAGCGCTCACTCATTCGCTTTATATGCAGGAATCCTATGTCCCCATACTAGCTGCCTACTGAGACACCATGGATCCTTATTCGCAAACCAGTCAAATAATTTCTGCTCTTGCGATTTGGGGGTTATTGTTATCTAGAGCAGGTATAAAATCAGATAAGAACGAATACTGTAAGCCTTGCCAAACATAGATTACAACTGCAAGCGTACTATTTTGATGTTGTAATATCAATACCTTGCCTTCTCTCACAGCTTGCTCGGCTTTTTCATAAAGTTCTGCAGTATTCATAAACCATTGCTCTGCAAGACGAGGCTCCACAATGTCACCTAAAACGTGTCAGCAATGTAGAAAACATCTTTCTATTTCCATATTTCAATAAAATGGAAAAATCGAAGTTGAAGGAATGAACTTTGTTATAAATTATGCAAAAAAAA